TGCTTCATCTATCACATCCAACATCACCAAAAATTGCTAATTTCATCTATAATATTTCTCAATAACATTCATTTATTTATTCAATCTAACAAAAGAAGGGAAAGACCTCTACAATGAAAACTACACAATACTAAAGAAAGAAATCGAAGAAGACCTTAGAAGATGGAAAGATGTCCCCATGTTCTTCGATAGGCAGAATTAATATTGTCAAAGTGGTCATACTACCAAAAGCGCTACATGGATTTAGTTCAATTCCCATCAAAATTCCAGTGATGTTCTTCACAGAACTAGAAGAGCAGTTATAAAACTCATTTGGAAAAATAAGAGAAGAGACCCAGAAAAGCCAAAGAAATCCTTAGTGAGAAAAGTGACATAGGAGGTATCACAATACTAAAACTTAAATTATACTATAGAGCTATAGAAACAAAAACAGCATGGTATTCGCACCAAAACAGACATGAAGACCAATGGAACAGAAAAGAAACAGAGACATACCCCCATACAGCCAGTTATCTCATACTAGACAAAGGCACCATAAGCATACAATGGAGAAAAGATAGTTTCTTCAACAAACGGTGCTGGGAAAACTAGAAATCCATATGTAGTAAAATGAAATTGAACCCCTCTCTCTCTCCCTAAACAAAACTCAACTCAAAGTGGATCAAAGTCCTAGGCATTAGACCGGAGACCCTGCTCCTTCTAGAAGAAAAAGTAGGCCCAACCCTCTACCACGTCAGCTTCGAAACCAACTTCCTCAACAGGACTCCTAACATGCAAGATGTAAAAATCAAGAATCAATAAATGAGATGGTATTAAACAAAAAATCTTGTCCCCAGGAAAGGAAACAATCAAGAATGTGAACAGAGAGCCTAGAGAATGGAAGAAAATCTTTATCACCTGCATCCTGAATAAGGCATTCATCTCCAGGATATACGAAGAACTCAAAAAACTTAACACCAAGAAAACAAACAGCTCAATCGATAAATGGACAAAGGAACTGAAAAGGTACTTCACAGAAGAAGAAATATGAATGTTCAAAAAATATATGAAAAAATGTTCAATATCTCATTTAGTTATTTTTGCTGTCCTAGTGAAAGCTACTAAATAGCCTGTCTTGGGCATATTCTAACTGGTCTTCCCATAACTCATTCTCTGTCCTGTCCAGGGAGAAGAGATTTGAAAAATGTGATCATATTTCCACTGCCCTCCTGCCTTAGCTATCACCACCACATGGCTCCCCATTAAACATGGCATAGAGATCAAAATCCTTCACTTGCCCTATGGGGTCCAGGGTGGTCTCACCTGACCTCACTTCCGTCTTGCATCTTGTGTTCTCCTTGTCTCTACTCAGCCCTCACTAGCCTCCTTTTGGTAAATAACACTTCCTGTGCTCCTTTCTACCACAGTCCTTCTAAAAACACTCCACTCTCAGCCTACAGCACTCTTCACTCCTGTTTTCCTAGTCAATCCCATCCATCCTCTGACGCCATCTCAGACATCATTCCCTTGGGGGAAGCGAGTCCGGATCTCCTGGGCAAGGCCCAATATACCTGTAGAGTAAACTCTCATAGCACCAAGTGAATTTTTTTATAATGTTTATTACAATCATAACTTTGATGATTTGATATGTCCTAGGCTGTAACTTTTGTGTCTAATTTGTTTACTGACAGGTCCCCAGCACCTAGTTGACATACAGGAGGTGTATTAGTCAGGGTTCTCTAGAGGAACAGAATCAACAGGAGGGATAATTATAAAAGGGGGATTTATTAGATGGGCTTACACAACCAGAAGCTGGATAGACCACAATGGCCATCCGCAGGGTAGACAGCTGGAGGGACTAGTAGCTGGGTAGTCGAAGATACTAAAACCTCAGAATAAGAGGGATCTAGGATGCCCATGTCTGATACTGAATGAAGGCTCTGGAAATTCCCTGGAGAATCACTGGCAGAGTTGGCTTTGAAATAGTGAAGGAGTGAGACTCTAATGTCCTCAGGTGACCCCAGAAACAAAATCAAGCATCTGCTGCTGCATTCTTATTTTTCCAATTTTTATTCCATCCAATCCTCCTGCCTATTGGATGGTGCTGCCCACACTTAGGGCATTCCAGTTCGCTCTCCCACATGTTAATCATTTCTAGAACCACCCTTATTGACATAACCAGAAACCCCTTAATCGCCAGCATCTCTTAATCCAATCAAGTTGACAATTCAAATTGACTGCTCATTACAGGAAGTTCTCTGAAATATATGTTGAATGAATTTGTTGAATGATCAGAATTAGTAAGAAAAAAATCAGGAACAGTGCATAAGAACTAAATATTTCATTGACCAAAGCAGCTTTTTTTCCCAAGCCAAGTGACCAGAAGGGAAAGGAGCAGTTGGAGAAGTCAGGCATGCACAGGGAGGGAACTGAGACGAAGCAGGCGGAGACAACAGTAATGCTGGAGCAGGCTGGGTCTTGACTGGATAGTAAGCTCAAATCACCAGTCTACTGGAGACAACATAGTAACCTGATGACAATCGACAAGCAGTCCGAGTCAAGAGCCAGTGCAGAAATACAACAATTCAGCCTGAGAGAAACATCTGGGATGAGGAATTGAGTGAGATAAAGTTATCAAGAAGCAAGACAGAGCACTAGGGGAGATGCTGCTGGTGAGAGGAAATGAGAAACGGTAAAAAGGAATAGCAATAGCAATCACAGGGCTTGACCCTTCATTTACACATCACATGTTCCAGATAACTGTCGAAATGCCGTGACATATTATTTAATTTTAATTTTGAAGTATTTCAATGAGGTAAGCAAGTTTATCATGATAACAATTTTACAAATGAAAAAAAAAATGAGGCTTACCTAAGGTCAAAAAGCAAGAGGCAGCTCTCCGCCCTTTCAGCTGCTTACAGGATACTGCTTCTTTATGAGACTAGGGATCGAGGTGACTGGTTAATGTGGTTGGTTCTTGTGTTAGCCATGCCATGAAATCAGCAAAGGGACAAATCTGTGGGAATCAAAGTAAGGTGGGAAAAGTATTTTATAAAAATAGAATCATATCTTGGAACAAATCAGAAATTGATTATTTAATGAGAGGTAAGACATAGTAAGACATGTTAACAACAGGGTATCAGAAAGATATGGTTTCAAATAATGTCACAAATATCTGAAACCATACATGATTTGCTGAAACATCTACAGCTTACTGCTCATTAAATAATGTGATCGCTCTTCTACAATCTAGCTGTGTGACTGTTATTTAAACTCTCTGACATTTGGTTTCTGCCTTTAACATCAGGGAGTATTAATACCTAGCTCATATAGCTGTCTAAAGGTTAAATAAGATAATGCATTTGTAAGTACTTACTACAGAACTAAATAATTCTTCACTCGCTAATTAATCATAAAAGGGATTTTACAGAGCTGAAATCTTACAGTTGAAGGAAGGGGAATATGGAGGTTTGTGTTGATATTATATCCTCAGACCAAATGGTTCATTACCACCAACTTGACAGATACATATATGTGCATGGATAACCTCTTATTAGCTAAATGTCTCCTGTGGGGAGACTAAAAATCACCTAATGAAAGCTGTTGAATGAAGTTGATAACTCTGAAGATACATTTTGCCCTAAGAAATGCTGACAGCTAAAGTGAACTCAACTTATGTGCCACTCATAATTCTCCAGGCAGCTTTAGAGTTGGCTTTAGAAGCATTTAGTTTCCAAGGCATATCTTGGAGCATACCCATAAAAGTTGTTCTTCTATAAAGTAGTGAATCTGGCTTTGCAAGATTATTGTGCCCTTCCAAAATTCAAAAGAAAAATTGAAGAATTTGAGAACTTATAGGTAAATTCAGTAGTGATATTGTAATGCTTGACTCTAAAGATGGAGTTAATAAGGATCTGTAAAACATTCATTCTCAAAATTTTTGGTAGAGAAACATGACACATTTTCCAAATATGATTTAGCAAAGTCTGTGGAAAAAAAATAAAGCACATTCCTAACCACCCACCAAACTAATTTCTAAGAATCTATTCTATAAAATAGTTGCATAAACACGAAAAGAAATATATAAAAATATGTTCTTTGTAAAACTGCAATAAATATCTACCAATAGACATATCATTTCGTAAACTAGAGTATCTTCATTAAATGAAATTACATAGGGCTAATTTTACAAAAGTGAAAGCTATATGTCTACTCACCTGAAAACATATTGTTAAATTAACATTAAAAGATTGTAGAACATAAAAATACAATACAGTCTCTTTTTTAAAACAGTATCATTTTCCATATATATAATATTAATACTTATATAATATTAAAAGTCATGTGTATATGATCAGCAAAGACACTAGTATTAGTGATGATTATTCTGCAACAAAAAGATTGTCATTTGACTTGAGAAAATGGAGCAGGTTCAGATAGCTTCTACTTTTCATTGTATCATCTTTGGTATTGTCTGGATTTTTAATAATAAAAATTCTAGCTTTTTCAATTAAGATTAATTTTTCCTGAAAACCATGAATGATAAACAGAGTCCTTTGAGATGCTACAACAAATTACCTTAGACTCAGTAACTTATAAACAACAGAAAATTATTACTTATAGTTCTGGAGGTAGAAAAGTCCCAGATCCAGGTAGCAATAGATTTAGCATCTGACAAGGCCAGTTCTATTACTTTATAGGCAGTGCCCTGTGGCTCTGCTCTGATGTGGAAGAAGAGGCAAGGCAGCCCGTTCAAGCTGTTTTGTAAGGGCACTTTCCAACTCTTAACACCATCACACCATCGCATTCGATATTCCAGTCCAGCATGTGAACTGGAGGAGGGATGTGCGTCTTCAAACCCTCTTTCCTCTTGCATCTGCTTCATTCCCACCCGTGGCTTCTCCACCCCCTCCCCTCACATTTTTTGCAGAACTCCCTTTGCCCTGGTGTGAGAACCCAGAATAAGAACCACTTGTCTTTCCCATCCTAAGTCCTTGCTTGACCTGTTTAGTCAGTCTCTTCCCTTTTCCCCTCCCCACCCCCACTCAGCTTCACCAACCCAGAAGAATCAGACTCTCAGTTGAGATCACTTCTCAAGGGGCATGAAAGGAGAGAATGCTGAGTATTGTTTCCTTGGTAAAATAAAACCAAAAATAATCTCACAGAACAGAGGAAAGACACGTGGTTGGTTCTTCTTTTAATATCTCTATCTCTGTCTCTCTCTCCTCGCCCCAACCAAGTTTGCTGTCCTTGAAAACAGGAAGTGTGATTTAATTATTATATCCACAGAACCTGCCACACTCCCAATACATAGTAGGTACTCAATAATTATTTTGAATATACAATTTTTTTTACTTAAAAAGCATGAATACATGTTTAAACAGGTCATGCCCTCAAGTCACTTATACCCTGCTACAGAGGCTTATGATTGGTGATACTAAGCAATTCCTCCCCTTAATATTACATGTGCCATTGACTCACCATTACCTGAGAAGCAATAGCAGCTTTCAACAACCAGCCACCAATAACTAAGCACTTATTTCTGCAAAGGCCTGTATGCTAATGCAGGCTGTCAGCCAGGGAACCCAGCAGAGCTGCGCTTAGCAACCAGTCCCTTTGCTATCTATTTTGGTTAGCTATGTCAAAAGTTATTCTAACTTCATTCAATCAATGGTTTCATGTTGTGAAAGAAAGACACTGCGAGGAGATGAGAACACAGAATCAAAAATATGCATGTTCAACATCTCTAAAGGCTGTTCCAAAATGCCTCTCTTCATTCCCCGTGCAGCTGGGGCTTCACCACACTCTTGTTTACAACCCATTTGGGAGGGATCTGTTAAGCAGAAGGAAGGTGTATTTGCCCTTCATCTCCTGGAAGGAGAAATACAGAACAGCTGTCTGTTTACCATTCTGACCTCATTTTCATGACGTTGAACCACTCCTTTGGGAAACATGAAAAATAGGGTTCCTTCATTTTTCCCCCCTAAGATGTTCTTGAAGCCACTAGGCTCTTAGTGAGCTAAAGGATGATTAAAATTATATGGCAGCAAATGTTTGTTAGCTGTAAATGGAAAGATCTTCAGCCAAGTTATGAAAAAATGTACTGTGCACAATCTCTATATTTCTTCTTTCATGCCATTACTTCTGCAAGGAATTTTGGTTCATAATTTCTAGAGAGAAACTCCTGAACACAGACAGATGTTAACTAAAAAAAACAACAACAAAAAAAAAACTAAAGCTAAAATTGAGACCTTGACAAACAACAGTACATTCATATTCCCGGGTTAGTGCACTTCACCTTGGTTCAGTTCAAGTCTAGACATGACAGACCCAGACTTCATTATATCCCCACACAAACTCCTCTAGAGGAGTTGTATTATTTCATATATTCTACAAACCACATTGAAAATGGAAAGAAACCCTGCTGTTTGCATTCAATAAATTATCTTATGTCAAGTCAGTCCTGACCTTAAAATTAACAGTGCCTAGTGCCAGGTGTAACTGAAAGGAACCATGGAAATCACTAGGTCCATGCCCCTCATTTACAGAGAAGGAAAAGTAGGTCTAGAAAGAGTGAATCATTGATGGTCACACCTGGTGATAGAGCAAGAAGAAGACCTAACACACATTCTGTGCTCAGTGATCTTCTAAGTGTGGTCTGAGTTTGGTTCCACAGAGTTAAAAGCAGAGGGGTTTTGTTATGATGCCATAAATTTACAAAAGGTAAATGAATAATCCTGTTATTTTAGGCCAGGGAATTTTGAGTGGCGTCAATGGCTAATTTCAACTAGGAAGAGACTGCAAAGGACTGAATCTGTTGTGGTATTCACAGAACTGTTCAAGCCAAAAAGAGCATTCATGCACATGTCTTGTTTGCCTATCCACAATCTCTGTTCCCTGTTTCTCCAATTGAGTAAGAAACCAGGCCTTCCCCGCCAAGGCTTATTTGTGATTTAGACTGACTCTAGGGGTGAACACGTGATCTAAGTTTGGCCATTGATCTTATTTCTTCTCCTCTGGCCACAGTTCAGTCATGAGTATAAGACCCAAGTCAGCGTGCAATTCTGGAGCTTTTGATAACACTTTTTAGGAGAAAAATATCTTTTGCAAGGATTTATAACTCTAAGGATGATGCCAGTCAGGAAATGCATGTAAAGGTCCTTCTAGAAAACAAAGTCAACACAGAGCCAAGAGATGGAGAATCAGATACCTGGTAGCTTAACCTGAGGTCCTGGATCTGTATATATCTGCAGTTGTTGTCCTTGGATTGTTCAGATTCGTGAACAAATATATCCATTGTTGCATAAGCCATTATGAACTGGATTGCTGTTGCTTTCAATGAGAAATCCAACATTCAATCCAAACTCCCAAGTCTCTAGAAGCGAAACTGAGGTCTAGAGAGAGGTAAGAACTGGTTTGTGGTTGCACGGCTGCCCATAGCAGAATCTAGGTCAAGTCCAAATACCTGGGACCCTAGTCTAGTGCCCTTCCCTCCACTGTCACCACAGACTCGTTTGGGTAAGTGAAACATCCAGACACAGAAAGAAAAACACTGCATAATCTCACTTAGCTGTGAAATATAAAACTCAAATGCATATAAACAAGAGAATCAAATAGTGGTTATCAAGGGCAAGATAGTATGGGAAATGGAAAGGTTTGGGTTCAGGGGTACAGATTTGCAGTCATGCAGGATGAAAAAGCCTAGATGTATAATGTACAGCATGATGACTACAGTTAATAACTCCACAGTGTATACCAGAAATTTACTAAGTGTACATTTTAAGTGCTTCACTAAATAAATAAATATGTGAGGAAATGGATATAACTTGCTTCACTGTAATCATTTCATTATGTACATAATTGCTAATATATATCAAAACATCATGTTGTATATGATTTTTACTTAAAAAGAAAGCAAAAGGGGGCTTTTTCTTTACTCTCAAAAAAGACTCATTTTGGAAAAACAATTATAAATTCTAAATTGAGATGTCAACTATAAGCAAAAG